CAACAACAGAAAGATAAACAACCGAATTATAAAATAAGCAATGGACTTGAATAGACTTTTTTCCAAAGAAGATATGCAAATGGCCAGTCAGCACATGAAAAGATGGCAAACTTCATTGGTCATTGAGGAAATGAAATTAAAGCCACAATGTGATACCATTTCACATCCTCACACCAACTAGGATGGTTGTAATTTTTTTTTTTTAAGGAAAATAAGTTTTGGAAGAAATGTGAGGAGTAGGAGGGCTTGCGCATTGCTGTGGAATGTAAAATGGTACAGCCACTGTGGAAAACAGTTGGTAGTTCCAGAAATTCCACTCCTATATGTATACTGAAGAGAAATGAAAACATATATAACCATACAGAGACTTGTGTACACACCCATTTATAGCAGCACTATTCATAATAGCTTAAGGGTGGAAACAATCCAAATGTCCATCAACAAATAAATGGATAAACAAATTGCAGAACATACAAAGAATATTATTCGGCCATAATAAGGAATGAAGTACTGATGCCTTCTACAACTTGGATAAATTTCTAAAACATGATGCTAACTGAAAGAAGTCACACCCAAAAGATTAGACATTGTATGATTCCTATTATATGAAGTATTCAGAATAGGCAAATCCATTGAGGCAGAAAGCATATTAAGTGGTTGCCAGGGGATGGTACAAGTGTAAATGAGAGTGATTACTTAAAGAAAGGGTATGAGGTGTTTTTCTGGGGTGACTGTGATTCATTCACTGAATTAATATTCATTATTTGCCTACTGTATTCCAGGCAGTATTTCAGTTAGTTTGCATGGACTTGACATTCAAAAGGAAAAAAAGAATAAGAATAAATGCAAAATATATCTAGGTGTTGAAAATTGTAATGAAAAGAAATAAATCAGGCTAGATAAAGAGGGAAAAGGTTGAGAAGTGCAACTTTAGACACGTAAAGCCTGCCTGTTAAAGTAATATTTGTACAGACGCCTGAGGAAAGTGAAGGAGCAAGTCATGGAAATGTCTAGAAGAACATTCCTGGCACAGGGAAGAGCAAAAGCAAAGATGGGGGCATGTGTGGAAATGTTCAAAGGAATGCCAAGAAAATGAGTGTGACAAGAGAAAGATGAAAGAGGAGTGCTAGAAAATGTCTGGAGAGGTAGCCAGAAGCCAAATTATGTAGGATCTTTTGGGCTATGGCTAGGACTTCAGATTCCATTCAAAGGATAACTGGAAGCCACTAGATGGCTTGTAACAGGTGAGTAATATCTGAAATATGCTTTAAAAGGATCACTCTGAGTACTGTAATCACAGTATTCCATTTATGGGAAATGTCCCAGACATCAATGTTTAGATGATCAATTCTGAAGTCAGGGAATGTCTGGCCTTCCCACCCAACTCTTCCCTTAAGTAGGCTGGTAATTTAGGTGAGGTCCTCAATCTCATCACACCTCAATCTCCTCACCTGTCAAATAAGGAATTGATTATAATGTCTTCCAGGTCTGTCATTTTATAGTTTTAGAAAGTTAAAACAGACTTCACTACTATATAAGCTCTTTTACTTAAACCAGTGGTTCTCAACAAAGGTCATTTTTGCCTAACAGTGGACATTTGGCAGTAACTGGAGACATTTTTGGTTGTCACAACTGGGGAGGGAGTTGCCACTGGCAGCTAGTGGGTAGAGAGAGGTTAGGGATGCTGCTAAATATCCTGCATTGCACAGGACAGCCTACCACAACAAAGAATTATCTGGCCCCAAAATGTCAATGAGACTTGCTGAGAAACCCTGACTTAATAAATGGAAAAATTCACATCATTTACACAAACGAGTATATAATTTATGACACTGAAGTTAGTACTTTTCTAACTTCAGAAATACAAAGTTCCCAAGCCAGCTTATCAATTCATTGTTTATCAAAGTCAAGGATGCTACAAGGTATTTACTCTGAATGATTTTACATCTTGATTCTTTTCTGTATGGGAAGAAAACCTGATATTAAAATTAGACCATAATAACAACAGCTAGTGATTCAGAAAGAGGCCTCTTAAATTATAAATACTTATGTTCAAATAATACTTGCTAAATACTCAGTGTGACTTCAGGCAAGTTACTTAACCTCTAGAGTGCCAGAGTTTCTTCATTTGTAAGATGAAGATAAGAATATGTCACAGGGATTTGTGAATAAGATAATGGGTTACAAAATGCTTAGCGCAGTGCCTGGTATAAGGTAAGCATTAAATGAATGTTGTAATTATTACAATTTACTAGGTAGGCCAAATATGGCCTGAAGGTTGTAGGTCGCTTTCAGCTTTCTACAATCTCCCTGACTTCCCCCTCCCCTATTCTTTTCTCGCTTAATCTGCTGTGAACCAAGATATTAGCTATCCACCCTACCAACCAATATCAGGACATTACATATTATATTAAATAATAATAATAATAATATATATATATATATATAAAATAAAAAGAGTAATGTGATGCATTGAGTTTAGGGAAAATGAAATAGGTCAAGTGAATTTTATCATTTTTTTCCCCAGTGCTAAACCTTCCAGCATCCCAATACTGGCCACCGTCAAATTTGGCTACAGATAAAAGATATATCCTGTAATCAGAGCACAGTAGGTATTTGCTAAGAGATTTACACTGGCTGACTCCACACTCTAGAATGTTCTTATACCTAGGCCCTATCACCTCAACTATTCTAGAGGTAGACTAGATTACCTGTGATATCAGGCCTTGCTTTTTTTATTCAAAGAAATCTGTTCTAGTCCAGAGAGGTTAAAAAGAGGTAGCAATTTTTTTTTTAACGGTATTTGGAAGGTATTTGGCGAGGCTTCTGACTGATCCATAGGGGTATTGAGAGATTGAGGTCTTAGACTACAAGCCTGCATCCACTTTCTCAGAATTACATATTCAGTGGTTAAGGCACTCATGGATAATGTGAAAAGGCTGTCTGTAAATCTTGACCTGGGACTATTCTTGTATTTCCTGAAATAATCTAGGGAAGGCAAAATTTTACTTACGTAACAAGATGATGGGGTCTCCTTCATTAGATTATATGCTCCACGAGGGATTTTAACTGTTACATTGCCAGCACATAATAAAGTACTGAAACTTAGCAAGTGCTCAATGAATGCATGCAGAATTTGGTTCAGTGTGTGCCTTGGGGTTTAAGAGTTATGACAATTTTTTTTAACTTAAAAAAATGTCCCTACTTATATATGAATAAATACAATTAATTTGGGGGGGAATTTAATTATTTTAGGTTTCTGTGTGATGGAATATAGTTTGACCTGTGGTTAATATTTAAATATACAATTCCATTGCTATTAGAAGAGGGAATCCTGGAATCAAATCCCAGCTATATTATTAATTTGTTGTGTGATCTTGGGAAACTCAGTTCCCTCAATGGGAAATGAGGGAAATGTTTTCTCTATGAGCTCTGAGATTCTGATTTTAGCACTTGGTATATAATAGGTTCTCAATATTTGTTGAATAAGTGATTCTATATTGCACTCAATACCTCTAATTAGTGGAAGACTGAAACAGTGCTCAAAAGCTCTATCTAAATAGGAAATTTTTCTGAAAACTATTTCGTGGTAAACATTTCAAACTTAGTAATTTTAATCAAATATTTAATCAAATATGAGAAACTTTATTTTTGTACTTGGGATCACATAAGCAGCAAGTCTCTCCAATTTATCACTTTAAATTTGCCAGTTAAAATATCATTATTAACAGCTTTTAATAACTCAGCCTAAGAAATGAAAACAATATATGAAACCAGTTATTGTACATTTGATTGGAAATCATATATATTAAATTGAACCATATTACATTACTGCTATTGAATGGTTTGTGCCTTCAAAAACGGCAGTTTTATATGGTTCAATCTAAATATACTTAGTATTGGGCCGGCCGAGTGGCACATTGGTTAAGAGATGGACGCCAGCTCTGAGCAGCAGGGCCCTGGTTCGGATCCCACATGAGGGCCAGTGACGCTGCGCCATCTATAGCTAAAATGGTGAACAACAGCTCGACCTGGAGCTGAGTCGCTGGGGACAGCGTAGGCTGCAGTGGGCTCCCATAAGCTACAGTGAGTGGCCAGCAGCCAGCGTGAGCTGAGAAGAGCCGCTGTGAGTGGCCATCCAGCGACCGGCGACTGATCTGCTTCACCCGGGAAGAGCGCAATGATAATACCAACATGGGCCAGTGAAGCGACATCCTCCACAACTAGACTGAAGAACAAAAGGACAGCAACTTGTCTGTTCCCCTTCCCTCGATTCCCCAATAAAATCTTTAAAAAATAATAATAATAAATACACTTAGTATTAAATACCGTATTTAAGAAATAATATGATAATAGGGTTTCCAAAGCCCGTTGTTCTCCCTTTTACTCGTATAATCGCCTGCCTGTTAGAGGTGTGGGATTTTCCTAAAATTTCAGAATCTGTATCTCTCCTACATAGCATTTGCAAGTTGTGGTTTAAGAATAGTATAAATTAGTATTTTTGTTTTGCCAAGTATCCCAAAGGGCTAGTATGAATAGTTAGACGTTTTATAGAGAGAATATACTGGTAGTTCCTTAACACTCCTTGATTGTTTAGGTTAGTGGCCTACAAACTTTAGCGTTCATAACAATTACTGGAGAACTTATTAAAACACAGGTTTCTGAGGTCTGTATCTAGAGATTCTGATTCAGTAGGTTGGGGTGGGGCCATAAATTTGCCTTTCTTACAAACTCCCACATTATGCTGATGCTGCTGGGTCTTAAGATCCTACGTGAGAGCCACTGACCTGGGGTACAGAAGAGACTTATTTGTAATAAGGCCTCCTTTTCTTATTTATCTTTCAGTAAATAAAACTCAGGCTGATGAGGTATCAGATAAATCCCATTAGGCCAAAACCATTTCTTAGTAAAACAGAACATTAACACAATTGTAAGATAATTGTACATTGGATTTGGGTTGAATTAGTTCCTACAGCCTCAAATTTCTGGAATGTATTCACCTGTCCTATTTTTAGAATTGCACTGTGTTCTGGTTTGCCAGGAGGGGCAAGGGTCGCCCTAGCCCTGCCGCTGGAGCTCAGTGCCAAGGTTAACTTCTTTACTTGCATTATCAGAGGCAGCACGTCCAGCCTGACAAACTCTGCAGTTCCTGATAGGGAAGCGGGTGGGCACCATCTAGGGGACCAAGCCCAGCCTGCTGCAGTCGGCCAACTCAACCCCATCTGCGAGTCTTCTCCAGGGCCCCTCGTGGAGTCCTGAGAGCCAAGCAGGGGCGAGAAGGAGCCCGCGAAGGTGCGCAGCAGGCAGGTTCAGATCCGCGGGAGACCACGCAGCGAGTCTGCGCCTGCAACCGCCGCCTCCGAGCAGTCGCGGGATTGCCGCCTCCCGGGGAGCCGATCGGCCCGAGGACCAGCCTAGCTCGGGATCTCTGTATCTGAAGAGGCTCCGCAGGCTGGCATTCAGGCCCGCGGGCTCACCCACTCCTCTCAGCCTAATCCATCGTCCTCAGGCTGGCGAAGATGTCCGCCAAGGCCGACGTCGGCTTAGCGAAGGAGGCTTCTCGGCAGATCCTGGCCGGTGGTTCCGCTGGTAAGGCCGCGTCGCCCCGCCCCGCCGGGGGCTAGTCGCTTTCCCTTTGGGTGTCCCGAAAACGTTTCTCAGACAAGTCTCTCAGCTGAAGTTCTGTCTTCTTCCTCCAAATTCCGCGCTGCCGGGGCAGAGCCTGAACCCGCCAAGACCGAGAGTAAAGGCGTCCGGGAGCGGCGGCGGGCGGCGGGCGGCGGGTGCTCTGGGTTAAGTGGCCGAGGCGCCCGCGTCGGCAGCTCTCGAGTTCCCTGCCTTCTCGGTTCCTAGCCTGAAAAGCAAGGAAGGCAGCTCGAAGGCCTGCAACTTGGAGGAGGCTTTTGCCCACCTGGCTATTTTACAATACTTAAAATGATCCAGTTTCTGTCAGACCTACCTTTGCTATCAGTTGTAGCCTCTTTCTTCCAACTTAGATCTTGCATAACTCCTGCCTCCCTCATTAAAATGTGTACCTCTGGACTCCACAGGTCTTTTTGCATACTGTGTTTGCTTGGGGCTATTCGTGCCTTAAATAGGCGTATTAAAATTAAATGCATATGTTAACACATATAAACACCTTTGATATAATGGGTTCACATTAATTTATGGAGAGTTATGCTGTGGGGTAAAAAAAACTTTAGAAAAAGAAATCTGTAGTACCAATCATGAAAATAGTTACTAAGTGTGGCTAGGGAAAGTTTCCCATGAGATTGCTATGTGAACGTATTTTAAAGACATTTAAAATGTAAATCATGAGTTGATTGAAAAGTTAATCTTACATACGGTGGTGCATTTTTATGATTAATATGTAAAATAATTACTATAATTCAGTCGTCTCATAAAACATTTTAATAAATGTAGATATTAAATGTAGATATTCTCTTAATTATGGTAACTAATAAATCATATTAAGACAATGACTAGATGTCTAATGTTTAACTTCCAGTAGTAAAATTTATTTGATTTTCAGACACATTTGCACTTTTTATAAGGGACTACTACAAATTATGACTGTTTTTACTATGTCAGTGAACTATTTGCATCTCAGGGGTACTGTGAGCAGCCAGATGTATCACTTACAATCTGTACACTTTCCTAAAGATTATATTTCGTTAATATGGCAATTAATGTATTCATTTTTTTATATGTAATTGGGCTATGTCCATCCATTATTATGATGTCAGTGTTTCCACTGTCTATTTTTTAGCTGTGTCCCCATAGTGATGATGAATTTGTACCACCTTATTCACCATTTTGGTCAAATTCCACAATGTCCAATACTCTGCCAACTGTCCCTGATTCACTTGATTCAGAGCCCATGATCCTGATCAAAGAAAACAGCTGGTCCAATAGGAAAGTGAAGCTAATTGGTGAATGTCCTAACCTGTGACTAATGATTCACAAGTATCTACATATTGACTTAGAGCAGCGGTTCTCAACCTTCCAAATGCCGCGACCCCTTAATACAGTTCCTCGTGTTGTGGTGACCCCCAACCATAAAATTATTTTCGTTGCTACGCTATAACTGTAATTTTGGTACTGTTATGAATCATAATGTAAATATCTTTTTGTTTTCCGATGGTCTTAAGCGATCCCTGTGAAAGGGTCGTTCGACCCCCAAAGGGGTCGCGACCCACAGGTTGAGAACCACTGACTTAGCTCATACTATGTGTTAGACACAGTTAACTCGAGGTGTGTTAAAAGTAGATCAAACTCTAAGCCTACTTACACTGTTCTGTTGGATGATAAATATTTGGCATAAATATATTGTATGATTCCATCATGTTCTTGTAATTAACATGAATGAAAATTAGTACCTTCATAATTAAATTAAGCATAGCATATTTGATTTATACATTAGTGTATGGAATTATTGATAAATGATGAGAGTACTTTATACTTTCATCCTAGTGAAAAAGAGTCATGTTTTCTTCCATTCGGCTAATAACATTTTCATAAAATTGTAGATTGGACTTTAATAAGTGCAGGCTAATTATATTATATATATGAGGTCAAGGCCTCATACTAGGTCAAGGGCCAAAAAGAAATCAATATACAAAACAGGTAGACTTTTAATAAATACAAAAAATCATGTGAACCTCGCACTGGCATTCCGATTACTGATACTGCCATCAAATACAATACCTCTGTTGTGTGTATTATATGATCTTTTGATTGTAAAAGTTAAAAACACATACTGGCTTTCTTAAGGGAGAAGAAAAGAGAAGCTGGGGAGGTTTATTAGAGAAATACCGGTATCTCATGGAATTCAAGGTCTGAGATGCATTCCCGGGACGGACTGGAATTAGGAGCTGGAGCCCTGAGGGGAAGCTCAGGAAGTGAACTCTTGCCATCTCTTACTTCTTCTCTCCGTCAAATGGTTACCCATTCCCAAGGCTAACAATACGGTCACAAGTCACACTACTACAGCTGTTAGGATGGCTTGCCATAGCACCATAGATTTGCCCAATGGATTCAGAAAGTTAATTACTTAGCCAAAAACAAGTCATTATGGTATCAGTTCCCTCTGTCCCTTGTTCCACAGGTAACACCAACATGAAGAGGCTAGATGACAGATGGTATGAGCAGGAGGTCCCTCTGCTATTGAGGAACCACCTCAGAACCACAGCCAGGCAGTTTTATACACTTAGGCCATAGCTTTACCCTAAGTGGGAGTGAAGTGGAAAGTCTTGTGCTCAGTGTAAACTGGGGAGGTAAATGAGAAATGGGCTTGTGGCAGTCTTCCACAAGAGCGGGAGAAACAGGCTCTCAGCAGCTCCTCACCAGGTTGCTTATCTTCCCTTAGGCTGGCAGAAATCACAGGGCATTCTGCCAAGACTCCAGTGAGACTGTGGTTAAGCCTTGCCTACAAGGCCTATGTGGAGATGTCAGGTTGTCAGGTGCCACGCTGTGGCGCTCTTTCCTGTGCTCTCCTGGTGTCTTCATCCGTCTTTTCTGACACCTGACTGCTGTTTCCTGCTCTTCAGTCCACGTGGCCCAGTGTGGTCCGCAGTGCTCCTGAGCTTAAATGCTCTTGACTTCTGTTCTGTAGAGACAGCAAGAGACTGACTTGCTTTTTTCAATTCTAGTGTAAAATCCCGAGGAAAGACTCAAAATAACCTAGTATTGCTTAGGGACCCATCTCTGCACCAATCAATTATAGCCAATGGCCATGTGGATGATTGGGAGAGGGGTGGGGTGGGGATCTTGGGAGATTATTTTTCAGAGCAGCTATAGGCATCATGAGATGGGCAACAGGTATGTTTTATAATGATATTTGCCTTTTATTAAAAGATGGTTTGTAATATCTGCATTTAGAAGAACAAAGAGACTGTTGCACTGACATTTGTTTGGACAATACACATCTAAAGACTGGCCTTGAGTTTGTAGCTAGCTATTATATGTAGATATTTTTTGCCAATGGCAAATTTGTTTTATATGACGAAAGCTGTGCTCAAGACAAGTCAATATGTACTGGAGTTTTACAGGCTTTTAGTCTCTATTCTCAGCTTCAAGTAATAGCATAAGAGTCAGGTAAGAAAATAGAAGCCAGTGATGAGAGCTTCAGGAAGGTCGGCAAATCCTAACACTGTAGAGGGTTTCAGGATAAAAATGAGAAGAGGCCGTTGGATTAGACTCTTGCCTTGGATAAGCAAGCAGGGGCACGGTAGAACCTGGAAGCTGATTAAAAATGTAGGATCTCAGGCCTCTCTCTAGACCTACCATATTAGAATCTGCATTTTAGGATGGTCCTCAAGTCATTGGTTTGTACTTCCAACTTTTAGAAGCACTGCATTAGAAGACCTTTGAGAAAAGAGAGTCTGTCGAGTGGGAGCTAGATTGCAAAGGGTTGCAAGTTAAATCTTTCTTGGTTTTTATTGCTGACCAGAGAGAGAAGAATGAATTCTGTATGTCTTATTATGTGTCCTCGATGTAGCTTTATTTTCCACCTCTCTCCTACACATTCCATTCAGTGTCTGCTAAATAAATCTGCCAACCATACTTGAATGTTGCCTGTAGCTTTCCACCTTTATTCCCAATTCCTGGAATGTCTTCCTCTTATTTTCTCTATTGAAATCCTATCCATTTTCCAAGGCCTAGCTTGAAAACTATTTTCTGCATAAATGTTTCCCAGATGGCCTCTACAGCCCCATCCAGCTTTCACATTCTCATTAACATGTGAATGGTACAAATAATAAAAATGGCTAACATTTATTGAGTCAATACTAAATGCCAGACCCAGTTCTAAGCTTTACATGTATCAACATTTTAAACCCTCACCACAACTCCAGGGTGAAGAAACTAATGTGCAGAGGGTCTAATTAACTTGTCTATGCTTACACAAACATGTAACCGTTTCTATAGGAAATCAGGATGGGAGAGGGATTAGGAATAATATTAACCATTGACAGACATTTTTAGAAGTTGTAGTGACCCAAGTCAAGTATGCTATCCCTTATTATTTCTGTATCTCTTATTAGTTTACAACCCTTAAAAGAAAACTTTTATCTACAAATACAATCCTTAGTCTCCTGCTACATATATAGTATCTTGCTCTTTCCAGATAATTTCATGTGGGCACAAGATTAGCTTTTAGCCAAAAGAAAATTCTCAGTCCATTCAGGGTCTTTCTGTGTACTTGGGCAGATGGTGGACTGGAAAAGGACTCTGTCCACTGGAGCAAGTGGGGGCTAAAACACAGCCCATGCTCTGATTCATAATTTGTATAACCTGGATATCCTAGAGATGCATCCACCTGAGAGAGAAGGGACACTTTTTTCCATTTCTCACAAAGACACCAAATGGATTGGTAGCAAACCTGACAGCAACACTGACAGAATTTCCCCAAACTTGCTAGAGCTCCCAAGGTCCCTGGGCTGCAACCACCTCCCCCTCTCCCCACCTCCAGGTCCCCAAATCATTACAGTGTCTGCTCATCAGCAGGGCTCCAGGAGGTTTCCCTTTTACGCACATCTCTTCCTTGGAGCCAGGAACATGGTTCCACCTCAGACCCTCCCGTTCTCCCT